TTATTTGTATTAAATAACATATTATATTATTAGAGATTTATTTTAATTGTATTATAAAATTTTGTAATCGACTAATTTTTCAAGATGTCATTTTTGGTCGTTTTTATATTTTTCATGTAGTTTATCAGCTAATTTTTATCAAACATGATTTGTTCGTCAACTAGTTTAAAAGATGTGCTTTTGAGATTTATTATTTGAGTTTTTGTTATAATTTAGCTTATTAAACTAATAATTGTATATTAAATATTTGATTCGTAATTAAATTTAAATATGAAAAAATTATACCAACAGGAAAAGGTCTAAAATGCCCTCATCATAATACTCAAAATAAGTAACATCCTTACATATAATTACATGATATAGCATCCATAGGGATTTTCATCACTAAGCATCTCAAACGTATCGGACGGACGAGATAACGTTCCAAAATCATCATCATCATCACGCTCTGTGTACTCATACGTGTACGGCGTCGGAGGAATATAGTAGGCGGGTCCACCGTTTCCGCTGGGATGCGCTTCATTGTAACACACAGCGTAAGCTGGACCACCAGGCATCGGATACGAGTAGCCACGTGGAGGGCTTAGATGTACTTGATCAACCACTTGATTATTCCCCGCTTCTGGAGCTACCAATCCAGTGTCCGCCGGTCCACCGGGAGGTTTTGCACCGGAACTCTGTTTTCCTTTTCGTTTCTTTTTCTTCTTTTTGCCACTTTGCCCTCCTCCTCCACCACCGCCGCCGCCGCCACCACCGCCGCCGCCACCACCACCACTCATTCCATCACTGGGCTGAACCGGATGATTCTCCGGTACACCAGCAAACTTCACCGACGGACCGCCGGTTTTATTTGGGGTGTTCTTAAGCTCATTACCATTCTGATCAGTTGGAGGATTATTAGTCTCTTCGTCACTGCTGTTTCCACTGCTTTCAGACCCTCTCTCTTTCTTGCCGGCTGCAGCTGACTTCTCTTTCTTGGTGGGGTTTTCCGGCCACTTTTCTGCATGCTTTCCAGTCTTGACCAGCTTCTTTATAAGGGTATCCACATCAACGTTGCCAACAACTGTAACCTTGTGTTGCTTTGAATCAATATCAGTGGTATATACACCTGCAAAACTAATGCATCTTGATCAGAAAACCAAAAACATCATCTGAATCGAAAGAAAAACGAGCTCGGAGCTACCTAAGGGTTTATCAACCAATCATGAGTAGTATTATAGTATATAGATTGAGTACCTTCAATGCTTTGGAGGACTTTCTTGACTTTTCGCTTGCAGCCAACACAGTGGATGGAAACCTTGAGAACCCATGTCTGCAAAACGTAACATGCATGAGCAACATATATATATATATATATATATATATATATAGATCATACAATGGAGAATTAACTAGCAGAAACAGACGATAAACTTAACAGAAAGCAGAGAAAAGGGTATGTTAATGAAGACCTTATATTTTAAGGTTGGTGTTGGTGTTGGTGTGTTGTGTTCTTGATCAGGAGGTGGTGCATCCATGGCGGATCGAAGGTTATGGATGATGGAGGGAGTATGGCTATCAACTGCTACACCAGTCTAGTGTTTGAAGGAAGAAAAGAAGGGTTGATGCGATATTGTGAATGACATTAGATGCCTCTTTTATCTCATGGTTCGACATCTCCTACGTCACCTTATATTCCTGGCTTTTTTAGGGTTTCTTTTTCTTTTCTCTATTTTTATGAATATGTAGTGTTAGTGTAGGCATGGAATTATTTTCAGGGGGAGCCTAGGTACACACTGGCCCTTTGTTTGGCTCCACCCATGCTATCTATATATGCAATAAGAAGCAATATAATTTGAGTGTTCTTTTTTAGTTGGACATGTTTGTATATAAGATGCAAATGTCGTCACCGGTTAATTAGGAGGGTTGAGAGTGTAATTACCGTTACTATAACAAATCGGGTTTATAGGACACTCCTAAATTCTAAGTGTCCTAATAGACCTCTTTATAAGACTTAGTTTATAGAACCAAAAAAATAAAGAATCATATCTAAACGCGTTGTAATAAGTTTATATGATGTTTTTTGACGTCGTAATAAGTTTTTTAGGACACTTTTAATATAAAGCATCTCATTAGCAATTTTATAGGACATTATTTGAAAAACTGTAATATAAAAACAAGTGTCCTATAAAAATTGAGTTTATAGGAACACTTTCTTAAAAGTATATATATATATCATATAAAGTTGCTAATGCGACATTTAGTATTAAAAATGTTCTAAAAACTTGTTAAGACGCCAAAAAGCGTCATATAAACTTATTATAACATCTTTAGATATGACGCTTTATATTTTGTTCCTATAAATTAAGTCATATAAAGCGGTATATTGGGACGCTTAGAGATTGGGGGCGTCCTATAAACCCAATTTTGTTGTATTGCGTGGAGAGTGGGAAGAGGAGGGGCGGGGTAAAGAGCTAAAACTATAGGTCTGGAAGTTCCGACCTAGTTAAGGGAGACTCTTGGAGGACAATCACAAGTAGCTTTTGTGATAATTTAGTCGTGAAGAGGTCTTTGATCTCTGTTACTAATCGTTCATTGTTTTTCAACATCTTATACCACTCACATGTGCCTTACAGTGGAATTACAAATAAAGTTTTGTCATAATTGTAGCTATCATGTAGGAAAGTAATTGCAAAATTTGCAATTGACATTGAAAGTTATGTCGACCACCAACCTCCTCTCTAATTTCATTTTTTCTAATTATTTAACTAAATTAATTTTTATAAAATAATAATATCAATATATTTATTAATTACATTAATTATTCTTATATGAAAAAATATTCTATGTATGTATATATGTTATTTAAAAAAACATAATATAACTAAATTAATTTAAGCATTGAGTTTTATAATTACGTAAAATTACAATTAATCAAATATATAAAATTACATATAATTAATATAACACACACGATTAATAAAACTACACAAATAAAATTACATCTTTATCTGTCATAGTTGAAAGATCCATTTCCATCAACTTGATTGTCAATTCTTCTTTTTTAAGTTCATCTTTCTTTCTATCTCTCTTTCCTCTTTCTTTCTCTCTCGTGCTTTTATAGCTTCTGTATATTTGTTCATTGCTTTTATTTTTTTAGCATCAAGATTGAATTGTTTTTTCATTGCCTCTTCGATACGGTCGATAGAGTTAGTTGATAAAGATTTTTGTTTACTTTTATCCTTTGAAGCTTTCCTTCCTATTGGATGAGAAATCGACGTTAGCTCAGGGGTCGACGTGTTTGTATTTGAGGATGATGAGATGTATTGACCCGAGCCATCGTTTTTTGTTCTCTTTGACCCCTATTTTCTACTAGATCAACCTTTACATGTCTCTCTCGTTGACTTATCCATTTTTCTTGATCATGCAATTCAACCCAAGCATGCAAGAAATTGAATTTTCCACCTAATGAGCTATATAACTCTAATGCGCTATTTTTTTGTCTTCTTCTTTCAGCCCACTTTCGCCTCGGTGTAGGATTTGTTCATAACAGCCAACAAACTTTGAAACAACATGATTCAATCGACTCCAACGATTTTGAAGTGCTTGATAATTCCTACTATTTTGAGAACTCGTGTTACGATTCACATCATAATATTCAAGTACACGGTTCCAAAAATTTAGCTTACTTTGATCAGTACCAATTGTTGCATCTTTGCCTATGTTGAGCCAAGCACTACACAACAATATATCATCTTTGGTTGTCCATCGTTTTTTTTTTTTTTCATTTTTAGAACCGCTTGCTTGCTCCGGCACGAGATTTGGTTGTGTAGAAAATTCTGGAAATTGAGAAGGAGTAGTAGTAGGATTTGGGTAAAATGCATTTGAAAATTTAGTGGATAGCTTTAGAAATTTGAATTTTGGTACACTGGCATCTGAAAATTGTTTAGGGTTCATTATAGGAAAGTTAGGATTGGGGGTACATTGAGGAGGATTTGTGTTTTGTGCATCATCATTTGGATTATGGGATGAAGGTTGGAAGAAACCGACTAAAGTTCTTGTTTTTTGTGTAATTTCTTTAATTCAATTTTTTTATTATAATTTAATTTAGATATAATAACGAAGTAATTTATTCTTGATTTAATAATATAGTTTTTTATAAGGATTATAATTGAGTATTCTGTTACAACTGAATGATTATCCTAATTATATTTTATATTTTTTATATTTAAAATGAAACGTTTATTTTGTATTTGACTATATTTATCTGCAATTAACTATACGAATTCAAACATGAAGCTTTAATAAGTTGTACTTACGCACAATTTATTTGTAATCTTGAATTTTAAGTAATATGTATCGATAAACAGTAATTCATGCATAAAAAATGGTTTTTAATAGTTTTTATCAAATGATTTATAATATAGTATAGATTTATATAATTTATTATATATTAATAATAAAAAAATAATGTGGAAAAGAGATAAAATAATAATTGGAAACTATATAAACTTTTTATTTTGATATTATTTTAATTGTTTTGACGAAATCTTTCTAATGATATATTTTATTATAAAAATAATTATTTTATTAATGATATATTTTATTATAATTTAATAAATTACATAAATTAATCAAACTATATAAACAACTCATTACGGGTAAATTGTTCATTTCACTTGTCATGTTCTATCCAGTCTTGTCTTACCAAATGTTGAACGACTGTTCAGTCATGTTCTATCTTTTTTCTAGAAACCAAAGACACCATAAGATGAATCTCAATAATAACCTCCATTGTGGATGCTCTAAAAGATTTTGTCAAGAATCCTCTACAAGAATTGATAGGAGGGTAGAGATGAAAATGGCAAGGTAAAGATGCGATCGAAACAATTGAAATCCGCAAGACTTCTAAATCTGTCGGTTGTGGGATTCCATTGAAATCTTGAGATTTCATTACGATTTTTTTTGAAACATCGTCGTTTAGAGCTTACAGGTATGTTGGTCAAACGCCATACATAACAATGTCAACACTTTTCTTTTCTAATTATATCCCTTATATTTTACATAAATGACCAAAAACCCCATCCATTCAACATTGTCATTTAACCTATCAACTTCGGCTAGTCAGCCAGCAGCCATCCTAAACCTAAGTTCTAACATAAACTTGGTGCCCAGCTGCTTTTTTTTATTAACCTGGGTATCCAACCCGCTATACGAGCCGACTAATCTCAGGGCGACCACCTACTTTGTAGATAGCCCGGAGTGGCCGCATTTAAACCTCCGTGGCCACAAGGGAATTTTTATTCCTACTTGGATTTGAATGCACTGAAACTAGTATTTGTTATTGTTCAGAGAAGTGGACAGGACAAAATGTTTATACAAACTGGAAAATGAAAACATTTCCTATACAGGGAAAACTTTACCCTACTTTTAACCTAAGGATAATACATGTAAATTAAGCCCCAAACCATACCATTACAAACCCAACTCCACTATATTCATGGTTAAACACACATGTATATAAGAAACATATCACCTTTGTCATGTAGTGTTGCCTCCGGTAGCAACCCCGCCGCCGCCACCACTGCTGCCACCGCCCCCCGTCCGCAATCCTTGAAGGCACAAGTGTAGTGCTCTTTGCACGTTATCCGCAACCATTCTCAATCTTCCTTGGTTTGCATCACCACCCGAAGATCCGTTCATATCCACCATCCGAATGACTCTCTGTTTACAATACTCCCAATCTTCCAAACGGAGCCAGCATGACCGTCCACCATGGCTGCCTTCCATTCCCAGAAAGCAAACGCTCGGGTTATCGCCAAATGAATACTTCAACCTCACGGAAACGCAGTAGGGCAACCACGCGGCACCGCCAGCAGCGTTAATGTGAGGTATGTGTGCGGGGTCAAGAACGACAGTCAAACCAAAGTCGACGGCATTATGAGGGCGGTCATAATGAATATTACTTTTGGACACTGAAGAATTATCGGAGTTGCCATCTGTGTACAGTCCGGAATGATTTTCGAGACATAGCTCGATTCTTGATCGCTGAGCGGGTGGAATGTCACCGCCTTGGGTCTGAACCAAACCTTTTTTCCATGCTATTAGTTTTAAGAACTCTCGTAAAACGGAAATCGGTAACGTAAGTAGAGTGATGAACGAGGCAACACGTGAAGCGTCGTACGGTTCGGATGCAACACGACGGCTGAAGTAGTCGCATATCTCGCCTATTTCGGATTGGCTTAGTTCCTCTTGAGCAATAACCGAGTTCTGCTGCTGTTGCTGTGAATGATGAAACCGTTTTACGCTAAGAACTTGGAGGAGAAGTTGAACTCTGTGGACGCTAACGGCAAATACATACCCCCTGCAGAAAGATATTTAAGTTAATATAAAAAATACAAGAACATGACCAGCTTTAGAACTATTATATCCATCGGATATAAATCCATCATTTTTCTTATGCCAAACAACCATAATACGTCTTCTGTCCCAAAATAAATGTCCATGAAAAAAACAGTTTTCAAAATGCGTAATTATAACACTTCTTAATCAACTAAATGACAATTTTACCCTTAATAAAAGAGAGTAATGTATTTCTCCATCTCATAATTAAGGGTTGAATTGGAAAGTAGGCACTTAATTTTGGGAGTGGAGACAGACTTTGGAGGGGGGGGATACATGTTCCAGCATATCAAACAGAAATGAAATTGTTGGTTGTTTCCATTTTATATGCAAGAAAACTGCCATTTAAGTGGTAATTTCTTGTATGCAAAGGTACACTCTAAATATAAATTACCCATTTTCCAAACTAAGCAAAGGGAAGTGAGAAATGGACTTTATATTTGTTTATGATCCAGGAGGAACCCAACGTAACACATACCGTCATTTTTGAGTACCGATTTCACAGGCTATTTCAGAAGGGGTTGGTACCAGCAAACGGAAGAACAAATAGTTGGTTAAAGCTCAAACTAGTTGGAATGCCCATAAATCATAATAGAGAACATGCCCCCAATCATGTCACCTTTAAACTTCAGATTAAATACACAAGGACATAGATGAAATGAGGTGAGAAATATCATCAGGATTAGCCCTAATGGTCATTATGAGTAGTTATATATGGGGTAAAGTGCCATTACTTGATAGTCCCTAAGTACATAGCAAGGTAAATTTCATCAGCCAACATTCAGGTACTTCACCGATATAGTTTGTCTGTCAGATCGTTGTTTGCGTACATATACTTTGTTGCAATAGAAGTTGAATATCATATATATGAGTCTGAAAATGGATGTTGCCTAAAATTATCTGTCTACCAATTCTCTGATTTATGCATCAATTCCCTCTTATAACTCTAATTTTCTGCAGTCAAACTCTTAATTCCAGTAAGGATCATCACAAACATTTACGATATATTTGCCAATTTGACATAATTAAAACCTAAAACAGTAACATGATCACGTATTTTGACTACAAAGTAGCATACAAGTGATTAACTGTGTTTCAAGTGCTTAAACTTTCATTCTTACCCGACAAAGAAGCGCAAGGCTGGCTGCTCTTGATCCAAATTTAGGAGTGCACCTTCATTGTCCTTTAGAATCGATCCAAGGATCTCCTTCAAGAGTTCTGGTAATTGTGCAAATAGCCATAATACTCCAAGGTATTTCAGAATGCCTCGAAGAACCTTCTTGAGAGCAACAAGAGGAACCCATCCTCCACCATAACCTCCATCATCCCCAAGCCCAATAATGGCTGTATTCAACTCTCCCCTAACATGAGCAGGAACAACTGTACCAGGTGGTCTACGCAGAGCCAATCCTGAGCTTCCTAAAGATGAAGTTGATGATGTTGGCATGGCGTTTGTAGCACGACTAAAACCAACTGGTTGGTTCCCTGGACGAGACATTCCAGTAGGACCTGCAAGGCTCACTCTGTTGCCATTCGATGCCGAGACTTGTGGACTGGAAGGTGCACCAGAATTGTTGGAATTAGTTGGTCCAACTGATTGTTGACCACCAGTGAAATTAGGGTCCAAGCCATTCAACTCCTGAGCAACATGCTCCATGATGAAGGGCCGAAATTGCGGACAAGGTAATGATCCACCGACCGTAGGACCTCCCTTAGGCGGTGTTGCTGGTTGCAACCAAACTTGATCTCCAGCAAAACACCGCATGTCAACTGCAAAATATTTGCGGTATATTATCCGTATCCAATAAGGACCACGAAGAACAAAAGAGACATCAATTGGCAACAGGGAACTAGGAACGATTCCAGGGCCACCTCGCCCAGCCGCAGAAGCAGCAGTCAACATTGCAGACCCATGATGACCATGAGTTCCAAGAGTGCTGATGGCAGAAGCACCAGGATTCCCACCAGGAGCAGAACTGTGACCAACATTATTGGAATTGTTTGGCATTTGCCCATACACACTCGCTTTTGATAGTGTGGGTACAGATGAAGCAGAACCAGGGACCCCGGAAACAGGAGCAGCTCGTGCAGGACGTGTTGCAGCAGCAAGAGCATGTAAGGGTCCAGCTGTGAGGCGAATGCAGTCCAAAAGGGATGAAACTTCAGTTCCATTGATGAAATCTTCTAAAAACTGAAAATAAAGAATTTTAACCAATCAACCAGAGTGTAAGACATAATAGCTGTTATTTGTAGAACATAAAAATATATGGCTCAAGAGGACCATTGGAGCGTTATCCAGTAACAAAACCTTCTTAGAGGTACTAAAGGTGAGGAGTGGGAGTGAGTTTAATTTGCAGTCGTATATAATTATTATATACTTCGAATATATATATATTGGCTGAGGAAGAGCAGTGAGGGTAGGGCGGGGGACAGATAAAAAAACTACAGGAAGAGAATTGCATGTGTGCTACAACTGCAAAATATGTAACTAATCCAAAACAACTACCATAGCAATGTGAAACACTTCATGTGATCTTATATGATTGCAATAGATGATAGTAGGTTAGTTTTGATGATATTTTAGCATACCCAATGCCTCCACCCCTCTCTCCCTTTAAGAAGCACCGATACACTGTGAAAAGCAGGGTACAGAACATAACCATACTGTTACACAGTGCATTTTGGATTCATTTCAGTTAAGGATAATCTTGGACACTAAGATACCCTGTGGCTAAAGTGAGAGATTACTGTCTCTTCCTATTATACTTTGAACTACTAGTCAACATTATTCATTGTATATTGCAACTGCAGAAACGGAGTGGTGGCAATGACATCTACCCAACCAGCACTCCAGCCCTGCAACACTAGCACCATTTACGTGACGACCACCAAAAGAATCCCCACAGTCAAATTTTGATTTATTTATTAAAAAAATGGTAACAATAATGATAATTTTATAACTTTTAATGACCATAATTACTGGAGTCCAGAAGAGAGAGAAAAAGGATGGAGGGAGAAACCAACACATTTGATTTTCTTCTAAACTATGATGTTTGATTTAGCAAAATCAAGGTAGACAAAAAAAGAGGGAACGTGGGGATAAGTTAATATGGAGTTGAAGAACGTCACAAGTTCTACAAAAGGAAAGGAAATTGAGCTGCTTACGACTGGGAATTGTGGGGTAGAGAGAGGGCGTCCTGCTTATATACTTCAGGTATTTCCCTATTGAATATGTTTTTCATGAATTTATGTAGAAAATCTTCATTCCTAAAAACAAAACAAAAAATCATCCATATTTGACTTTTTGGTGTAAGATATTTTACTTTTAAACTTCAAAACTAACATATATTATTTTGGCATGTGGAAGATTAAAATGGTAACCATATTGCACGATCAAATTTAAGGATATGAAAACAAACTTGCTAAAAAGAAAAAATCAATTTATGTCGACTTTTGAAATTTAGAAGTACTAGATTTACACTAATAAAATCTATAGTGAACTCTGATAATGATGCAACAGGATGGAGAATATAATTGTGGATAACAGAAAAGTGAGACAGATTTGAGTTTAAAAGGATTCGAGCTGGGAAAAGCACAACAGTTGAGAGGAAAACAGATACTACAAATATGGGGGTTAATCCTATGGCCAACGATCAAAGTATTCCAAGGGTGTAGTTGTTCATTAAATATTCAATTTCTTGCTGCAATGAAGATAGAATTGGGTGTCCGGGAAAAATAGACTTGCCAAGTATCAAGTTCCTTAATAGCCGTCCATTCAAATGTCCATCCGCTAATCTGGGAAGCGGAATAGAGACATTCTGATATAAAACATGCAACTGCTACGACGTGGTTGGAACGTAGTTTTGCACACCAAGTACAGAGACCAGAGGACATACCTTTGTGTGAGGCCAAAGTTGGTCAGGTGATACATGCATTGTACAGCCACTTTTACCAGACTCCCATTCAACAACAAAGCGAGCAAGGACCCCTGAACCAAAACTGAACCACAAACTCATTAGTCCAACTGCCTCGATTTTAAATGCCCTCCTCATCTGTTCCAAGTATTTATCAACTGCTTCAGAAGTACTCTTTGCTCCTGGTGGTGCTTTAGCATCAGAACTAGATCGACTTTCTTCTGTTTTCTCATCAGATTTTATAATCAGTAGTTTCCGCATTCCAAGAGCAAATGTCCGAGCATTAGATAGCCGCTGAATATCTGCAACCAACTTTTTAATGCTATCGGATTCAACGGAATTGTAAGTTAAAACAACACCATCCGCATAATAACGAATATGAGAATCAATGTCAGATGTATTGGCAATCCGAACACCAGAACCCCATGGAGTACTAGTGCTTCCCTTCTGAAGCTCCCATAAGTCCATGAAGTGTTGATCATTAATTTTGACATCCCAATACATGCTTCCTGGTCGTCCTAATCTCAAGCATATGTGCTCCCATGCATCACCTCTAGCAAATGGGAGCCTGAACCATATGTTTGAAGAAGCATTTCTCAGACCCACTTCTTCAGCATATGGAATGTTAAGTTCATCCATCTGACTAGTTAGACGAGCATGTTTGATACAGAGGGAGCAATGCCTGACAACATGCAGAAGAGCTGACACATATATACTGGAGGGTGCATCCCCCTTATTTGCTTCTGCTATAAGATTCACGTATCTGTATTTTTCAATATTATTGACAACACCTAAAGGACTTTGTGTCTGCAATGAAGACCGTTGGGTAGAAACTGAATTTGTGATTTTTCTTCTCTTGAAAGATCCTTCAAGGATCTCTGGGCATTTGAGTGATGGGAGTAAGTCTAACATGTCCATCAATGCACGCTTTCGTGATCCATTATCATATTTAGATACAACAGCAGGAAGGGAGCTAGTGCACATGGGGGAATCTGGGGCTGGAGCTGAAAAAAGAGGAGTATCTAATGTAAACTGCCATATAGAATTCATCACTATTATTGTAATGTAAAGTTAAACATGGTAGGTGAAAAAAATTATACTTTCAGTTGTAACCAACAAGCTAGATGAAACTTTAAATGACACACCTGGAGTCCCAGTAACTGAATTTCTGAAAGCATTTGCTCTTGCACTTGCTGCAGAAACTCGAGGGCCACTTGACTGGGGTAGAGATGATAGCCGAGAAGACCGACTACCTGCCACTCCCAGCTGATCCTCTTCCATTGTGATATAAGAACCCACTTCGGCAGAATGTGGAGATCTAGATGCCAAATCTTGATCAGACTTTGAAGCTGGCAGTTTCTTCATGACTGTGCTCCTTCCAGGGGCAGGAGCGATTGAACTGGTGGAAACAGAAGGTATCCTACCCTTGTAGTTACTCGTAGGATACAACGCACCATTCCAACTGGAACCTGCAGGATTATCAATATGAGACATCTGTGGCCCTCCTTCCCACTTGGGAGACGAACTTATTGTTGGTCCAGACCCGTGATTAGTGGTAGTATTAAACGTAGTGTTGAAACTCTGTACAGGAAAGGCAGGTGCCGAGGATCGTCTTTCTTGCTCAAAGACTTCGTCCACAATTGAAGAAAAAGCAGATAGAAGACCAGAACCTTCAACACTCAAATCAGAAAGACCATTCTCAGAAGTTTGATTAGTTCCCACAGCATTTGCAGGAAGTGTTAGGGCACCATAATCAAGAAGGCTCAAATTGAGTTCGTCTTCCAGCATATGCATTTGATTTACATCAACATTTTTAATGCGAGTAACTTGATTCAAGACACCAGATGATTCAGGTTTTCCTGGTGGATCTGCCTGAGTCTCTAACAACTTAAAAAGAGGTCTAAAGTCCTCTTCAAGTTGCATCAGCAGAAAATAAGAGCTCCCACAATCAGGAAATCCCATAAGCAGCATATTAGAACCATTTAAGATATGTTTTGGCACCTTCACGGGAGAAAAGCCATGTTCATACACCTGCAAGAATAAATTGGCCCACATAACTGTCTATATGTTTTTAAGACAAAATAGAAAATGATAGAAGCTTTGGAAAACCGAAGATATGACGTAGTAGCAAACTGGAGATCACAATGTTGAATTTGTGGATGTTATCTAAGGGCGCATTACAGTGACACGTTGACATGGGCAGATGTTACTATATTCAACTTTCTCATGACAAATGAGCTTTACATCGGTTCAAATGGTATTCTCCCTTCTGCTAATGTGAAGGACAGTGTGCTCATCAAATAAGGTAATTTGCAGTTGTGAGTTGTGACAGAGCACAAGTCAATGATGTGGAAGCCAGCAGAACAGTAAAAAAAAAAGAGAGAAGATTAACATGATATAGTTTGATACATCACATCTGTAAAACTTGAACCACAGTCAAAAGCTTCAAAACAACTTTAGCAGGCCGTTTGCAAAAAGCAATCTAACATATACAGCTGGAAATGCATGAAAGGGCACCAGCACCATATAACTAGTCATAGCTAACCAAACTGTATTTAGCAGGCAAGTACTGCATTTGGGTAGAAGATTGCTTGCAAAGTACCTCTCCATATGAATTTGAATATTAACAAATTACCAGAAGTAATATAGGTTTTTTCTTCTTTCTTTTACATGCCAAGAAAACAGCAACCTAGAATGCCAAGTAAAATCCAATATTATAGAGAAGTCAAGCCAATACATGACTCGCAAGTTTTGGAGTTGATCTCATAAAATTTAGATATCAGCTTTCGAGTAATATGCTAGGAAAATTATTTGAAGGGATAGAAAAGTTGCCCTGGAAGTTCATAAATTAACATGTCGTGAAGATATAATAGCCTAAATTGAGCAAAAGCCTAGAAAAAATTATATACTTGCAACCTCTTGGTGTCTTTCCTATTACGATCACAGTATTAATATACTTGCAACCTCTTAAGGTTTTGCATCCAACCTCTGTCATCACTAACACATATGAGTTACATGCACTTTCATATGGGATCTACAATGCAACTCTTCTGATAATATATTTAGTTCTTCAGCTAATTAAAGATTTCAGACAAAAACATTCTTCTTCATGATTACAATATCAGTATATATATATATATATATATATATATATATATATATATATATATATGTTATCATAACAACTTCAATTGCAGCTGACAATACCTGAAGGCCTAAAAACCTCCCAATGCATGCAAATAAATGCAAAAAGCTCTTGCTTCTCAAGCTAATAAATGCTTCAGCTGCGGTTATACTTCCCTGGTTTAGTGCTTCCTCACATTCTCTTAGTGCTGAAGGTGCAATGGTACTTCTAGAAGAATGAAGAAGAAAGCGCCCAGTCCTGCAAGTCAGAAAGGAAGAGGTAAGTTGACAGACATAAAGCTTCTTCATCTTTCATGAAAAATGCTACATTCATATCCATTGAAACATTGGAAATACAGAAAACCCTTTTCCAGAAGTCTGTATATGATGCAGGTATGCAAGAGATTAACTACTTACAATAGTTAAAAAAGAACCATAGTTTAATTGGGAAGGCTAAGCAAAATTCCAGGCACTGAATAAACAATAAACTTCACATATGCAAACACTTCCACTAAAATACATACAGATATGAAATTACATACTTAATGCCGGAACTCGTGGAGATTCATTCATCAATATTAAGCATGCAGCAGTACATGTAAACGAAAGTACATGGTTGAATCTCACTCTCAATGGATGTAACCAAGTAAAAAGTCAGAATTGCCCAGCAAAAATTGTAGTTAACAAAATGGATGGTGAATTTGTAATCATATGCATAAGATTTTTTTTTATTTACTTCCCAAGAAAGGTTGTTCTTTGGAAACATATAAAAAAATTTGTCCATGCATCTCTCAACAACTTCTTTAGTAATAAAAGCACAATCTGTTGCACCTTTATCCTCCACAAGAATAAAGTATGATTATTTAAATAACAAAGTTAACTTGTTTCTTCGAAGCAACATCAAAAGATGTGAGTACAAAGTATGAATTTATGTTTTCTATCAAATGTCTCTTGAAACAGTCTATAACTATAAGCTTACTTAAAAAACCCCTTGGCTTTTCTAGAAATGTGTGGACGTCTTTGTGCAGCGCTGGGCCCAAGACTCCCATTTAGCCAATCTTTTTATTTGAATTTAATGTCATTTTTTTCATTAAGAACAAGAAGTCTGGCGCTTATATTTATGTGGATTTTGGGGATTGTAATTCTTTCTAACTTTTAGGGTATAACCGTCCTAGTAGTTTACTAAATAAATGGATAAGCTAGACATCCTGACCCACCAAGCAAAAACCAGTGGTTTCTTGGTCATAACTAGCTAAAAGCCATAAAGAGTATTTCAGCAGGGTAGACCTCAAAGCATATAAAATTTTCATGTGGCAGATCTTCAGCCACCATCCAAGTACACTCTAGTTATTGTAGGAGAACCCAAAGTGCTCTCCTAATTCAGGGAAGAACTCTCATAGATTCTTTTTTCCTTTTGGAAGATACAGGAGCAAAAAATCAGCCTTTTCCGTTTTTTATATTTTTTTTGATTTTGGGGATTGTAATTCTTTCTACCTTTTCAGGTATGATGTTCCTAGTAGTTTACCAGATAAATTTAAAAGCTAGGCATTCCTTCCCCACAAAGTGAAACCGGCAGTTTCTTGGTCACGACTAGCTAGAGCCACTAAAGTGTGTTTCCGCATGGCAGACCTTATCAAGGAATATAAGGTTTCCATGAGGCTGATCCGGAGCCGCCATCCAAATACACTCTAGTTATTGAGAGAACCCAAGTGCTTCATTTCTCATTCAGGGAAGAACTCTCAGATTTTTTTTCTTTTTGGAGGATATAGAAGCAAAACAATCAATTTACTGATACGCCCAAAAAGGAAAAGGACTAGACATCTTATCAAACCATCCGCATGCAACAAAATTCAAACCCAAACATTTTTCCTCGGCTAATCCACTGAACATGCATAGGTTAACTCAACTGGCCAGGCTAACTTACAATAGTAATATACACTATTCACTACTAGAAAGTTTGAATACTTGTGCATTTTTCCTGATGACAAAAACAAAAGGATGTTTCCAGTTGTTCATGCTGTTGGACAGTATCAAGAACCAGCATTCACTCTATCTATCAAACCAGTTGCTCATGCTGTTGGACAGTATCAAGAACCAGCATTCACTCTATCTATCAAAACTACATAAAAATGTGTTTTATAACAATAGTAGATGGGAAAATGAGCATGTGAGTTTATAGTTTTATATGATTATACAACTCATTCTCCTTATAAACTAAAAGAAAAAAATGTGTTTTATAATACATATTAGATAGGAAAGTGGGCATTTGCATCTATGAGTTTAATAATTTGAGATATACTAGTTTTTTATGATTATACAAAACAAACTATTCCTCAAGAGAATTAAAAAAAAAACTAGTGGATTGAGAATGTTTTTGTCGGTGCCATCTTTTTTTTATTAACCTGGATATCCAACCCGCTATGCGGGCCGACTAATCCCAAGGCGACCACCCGCTTCGCGGGTAGCCTGGAGTCGCCGCATTTGAACCTCCATGGCCACAAGGGGATTTTTATTCCTCCTTGGATTCAAAACTGGGACCTCCAGGCACTTTTGACCTTTGGAGCCCAAGCTCAAACCAATCGAGCACTATTATGACTTTGCTTCTCAAAACCTAGTGTATCCATTCAAAATGACTCGCAAGAACAGAATACTTAGATGTGCATTAATGATTTACCAAGATAGCCTGTCACTTTGTCAGGTGCATGTTTTTTGTAGTGGCATCTTATGACTTCGCTTCTGAGAGTGCCTAGTATATCCATTCATTATAATAGAGATGAGACACGCAAGAACAAAATATTCAGATTTTCATTTTGCAGCCCTTGATTAACCATCCAATATGGAAAACATGTGACATACATGTCCTCAATTGATATCTGGTTGTGTAACAGCAGATATTTATTTGAATTTCAATGAGCAGGAGACAATCAAAGGAAGAAAATCTCTTCAATTTTGAAAACAGAGGAAATTATACTTTCATGAGATTAGCTCTTGTTAAAAACCTGTAGATCACTACTGGTGTTAATTCTTTAGCACGTCAACTCTACATTTAAACAGAATAGCTATAAGAAAACCTTCTATGCGATAACAGTTTTTTAATAATTGTAATGGAATTGTCAAAACAATCTCTACTTAAGTGACATGGTTTATCCAAATTTCAGCCAAGTGAATTTGCTAACTGACAAGGTCATCAGCAAACATGTATTAAGTAATCAGTCACACTAACCACATTTAACAATCAATCGGCGTTTGGGTTGGAGAAAGACCTTATATTTATTCCAAGTGTAAAAAATGATGAACCATAGGCACGAACACGTAGTACTTCCTGCCCTTCAGAATCTGATTTATTGTCCTGCAGATAGAAATCAAACAAAGCAATATAGCACATCAACCAAGTGAGTGATCAACTGTATAAGCACGTCATAATCTGAAATGAAGTATTGCGGATTCAGTTTGAATGATTAAAGTGATGTAATACTTTAAAACCTACTAATCATCTGAAAGAAGGCTTCTAACTGAGTGGAGTTTGAGCTTAGTAATTATCGCTTTGGACTTTCAAGTGGTAGCTAGCGTTATTAGGGCAGAAGCTCAATATGACTGTTATCCTATGCACATCTACATTCTCAGAATAGTATGGCAGACAAGCTGGGTTGATGAATCAAGCAGACACCAAGTCAGTGAACTAAAGGAATTGAGAGCCATGGCTGCAGGACTGCCTAGGTGCCAATTAGCCATTTTGGTGCACTCAGGGTGCATTCTTATGCCACTTGGTCTTCTCTCTTGCTTCACATTCATTCCCTTTCTTCCTCTCTATAAGAAGCCCATTGAGACACTTACACTGCTAAAAGATGTCTTCAGTCTCTAGGTCTTCCAGTGGCCACCCACATTGGCATTCTTCTGTCTAGCTTCCTTGCCAGCATCTTGATGCCACATTGGCAACCATGGTTACAACAGTGGGGAAGATTTTCTTCACATTGTTCATGATTTTATATAACTTTATTACTTTTCAACCGAAGGTAGTTTCTAATATTAATGCAATGTCTGTATGAGAAAGAGGGCACTGAATTTGAGTAGCTCAAAATGAGAAGGGGTGTTTGATAGAAAGAGTAAGTACAGCTGAAACATACAGAGGATGATATCTTAACTAGTCTACAACTCTAAGCTTTACACTCTACAGAAGGAAATATAAACTCATCAGTACAACAGTGCAAAGTGAAATATCAATCAATTAAGTAATCTGATAATCCAAATTTAAAGGCAACAAAGGCATACCAATTACCAAGACAGTGATGTAATGGCTTGTAGCAATAAGTCTTAAAGTCCCAATGTTCAAGCTTCAGGACCCTTACCTAGGTGAAAACTAGAAATCTTAGGTGTGAAAAGATATGAGATACTTAATAAGCCTGCATATATAGTGTGTGATAAGCATTTATATGTTCAATGTATAATGTATACCTTGTTTAACTTATAGCTTGTAAGCATGTTACTATGAACTTCATGAAACACAACCAGCAACCACCACTCAGTGGCACATACATTTTACAGAAACATAATAACCTAACCACCACCAGGCAACAGCTATTTGCTTCTTCATCTTCTTCCCTGTCTACTTTATTAGCAAACAGCAGTCAAGTTACCGCTACATCACCCACCAACCCAACCAGCACCAAATGCAAGCCACCACCCACCACACTAACAACTTCCACCACTTGGTATATACACTTAAATATAGAACACTATGGCATAACTTCGATCCACGTGTATGCATGTAGACAGAATACAAATTGAACAAATAACTCCACAGAATATTACAGAGTGGCACATAGCTAGAATTGAATGGTTAGGATTTGAAAATTTCCTGGCAATCATGGTGGAACAGAGCAAGAAGGGAGAGAGTGAGAGAGATGGAGAGAGAGACGTTGATAAAAGATACTGCTGAAGCATAGAGGATAAAAATAGAAAAACAAAAAGAAAGATAAGACGGAATATTGCTTACAATCACTATGATCAATCATTAGGCTGTAAGAGTGTAGATCACACATATAATCAATTAGTAGTCATCGTCTTAAAGAGAGGGTTAATGCTTATAATAATATAGAAAGCTACAGATCTGCAAGAACTAAAATCTCAATCCTTTCCCACTCAGCTGCTACCATTAAAGCAATTTCTCAACATAAAAGGAAAATGTAGAATTAGAAAATAAATCAAAGATTTAGTTTCGCTAAATCTACTAATGCTATACTTCACCAAAAGCCAACAGAGATCAAACAAATGTAGAATCATATTATGCTTTAGAAATTCTAAGCGGTAATAAGATTAAATTTAGAGCATCTCCAACAGCTATGCTATAAATATCCTAAAACAATCAAAAGTTTAAATCTCTAAAAAGAATTACATCCAACTCCAGCAACTACTCTATTTTAGCAATTAAATCATTAACTACATTATTAAAATATTCAATATATTTAATAAAATATTATTTCTCTCTCCTTAATACTTAATTTCAATGTCTCCTATTGGTGAGAGAGAATTAAATATTATTTCTCTCTCAAATATAGAGTTTTAGAGATTTCTCCAAGTTTAAAAATTTCTCCAAATTTAGAGATTTCTACCCTCTCTCTCTTCTTTTCTCTATGTTAATATATGGTATAGCATAGCTGTTGGGGCAAAAATATACCCTAAATCTCTAAAATCTCTATTTTAGCATAGTTGTTGGAGATGCTCTTATGAAAGGGATCAACTATGTTAATCACACACTTCGACTACAAAGACAACAGACACTCTGAATGGCTTAAGCACCACTCTTTCTTTAGTTACTCCAGCGGTCCAGCTTCTGCCTGATTTCATGCAATGAACATAAGAGGGCCATGGAAAGCTAAACCACAAGACACATTTGCATTTATGGGCCACCACAAAGTTCTTAAATCAAATACAAATAAGACCAACCATTTGCAACTTTTTCCTCGAGTATTGACTTTGATCATAAGTTGTGAGCCATTGGGGTCTTTTACGGTAAACGTTTCAGTGTATCATTTGTTCTCAAGAAGTCACATGACTTACAAATGCAAATGCAAATGGTGTGAACAAATAGACCTAAGAATCTCAATAGAAGAATTGCAATGAGAAGTATGAAGAAGTTATTTCATTTTGACTGACCGCTTTGTATTCAGCACCAGGTTGATCAACGGGGCAGTGAAGGAGAACATCACCCGCGGCTCGACGAATATGACTATTTTCCCCCAACTCCTTATAGATTTCAAGCAGGCGAGTAAACTTGTTACACCATATAGCTCTTAGTAGCAATTTCTCAACATCAATACAGCTCTGGTCAATAGAAAATTCTGCCTCCTTGTTAGTTAGAGGATCGATGACAAATGCACTGTGGAGACATTTTATCCGCAGATCTTGCCCTGGTTCAATCTTAATGAAAGGACATGATACAGCGTCCGATGTCCCATTGTTTTTATCACAATCCAACCAATAAAGAATTTTTAGTCCCGGAGTCCGTAAACCACCAGAATCAGTTTCTCCATCTTGATTCATTTGCACAGAGCCAGTAGCACTACCTTGACCAGGATTACCATCAGATATGAGCTCAAACCGAATTGCATCTTTCCATCTGCCTAGCCTAAGTGCTTGTACTTGTCTTATTACAGTGTCCATGATAAGAGCTACACAAAATTCATGCAAAATAGAGTACATAGTTGCAAAAGGAGAGTCAGAAGCAGCCATTCTGCGCTCCAAATCATCTCCGAGAACAAATCGCCTTGTTTCTTCAAGCTTCACTAGACCACTTCTCTCACCAACAAGTACCTCCAAATGCAATATTCTCCACATTGAAAGGTGTCCACGATAACCGAGAGTTAGCAGTACCTTAAACTCTCCTTGTACACAAAGATGTACTGTACCATCGAAAATTTTGACCTCAGAGAACTCTTTGGGTAGCGAAGTTTCAAGTAACTTTGATCTGACGATAGTGTCCAACTTCTTCAATACAGGCTTCTGCTGTTTATCAGTTAACGTGCTCTGGATACCCACATCTTCTGTGCACTTGGGTAAACGCTGGTAGGTGCCGGTAAGGAGAACTTCGATGGCAGATGGAACATCATAAATTGGAGCACGAGCTTGTTGTAGTCCCTCGTGCATGAAAAACATTGAATCTGCAGCTTGAGTGAAACATGTTTCATGACTTGACAGGGTTGAAGCAAGTTGCTGACAGTATTGTATCAGTGGCACCTGCATATCAGAAGGTCATACTTTCAAGATTGTGTGTGTAATTAATTTAACATAGATGTCAAAACGTAACAATGCCTCCTTCGTCCAATATTTATCATACAAATTTGATTATTGAGTGTTGAACCTTGATCTTCCAATTGATATGAGTTTTAAGAGCACTTTCCATTCTTAAGGTATTCATTTATGGTTTATCATAAGCTAAATATACTTTATCAATTTTAGATTTCAAAAGTTTAACTCTTTGTGTGAAAACAGGATAATAAACATAGGAAGGAGGAAGAACGATTTATGTTTGTATGCATGATACTATGGTAGTATAATTATGCGCATATATGCATGCATAATATTAATGCCAATGACACTAACAATGACAATCTTACATACAGAACTAGTTGTGTTCTTGACCATTTTCAGCCATTTACAAATACATTTTCAATTGTTTCCTTTTCAGCCTTCAGTAATAGTAGAAGATTAGATATCTAATTAAATATTACCGATCGTTACTAGTCATATATGATAAGTGGTCCAAATTGAAGAAACACACGAAGTTTTTGGTTCATTACTAGAAAGGAAGTTTCAAGCATTCAAAGTAACAATTCAACCTGTAATTTCATCTAGCTGACCACTTATCCATCATTCAAACTTTACAGAAGAAAAGCTAATAAGCCCATATAGAAAGAAAATTTTTAACTAATCAAGTGCCCAAACATACTAAACCATTGTATGTCATTCTAAACCATAGCATGTCCACTGAATTAATGTTACTAACTAGAACTTAAATCTGCATTGTTGATCTTTGTCACTCTTCTCTGTTCTAATTATCATAACTGGATATAATATTCGCACGGGTTTCTAGTGCATCACATATTATCAACAAACATAATTTATGAACATCCCTGCATTGAAAATTACAAGAAGAAAGCAAGTTTACACAACCAAATTGATATAGATGGAACGACGACTACCACACATGCCCTTAAACTAAAAAGTCTTATGAAATATTCTCTTCAACTAAGATTTATTAATCTGGAGTGTGGGTAACTTGCAAATGTATTTTGTAACAAAATTAAAACCGACTTTGCTCTTGTACGAGGTATTGTATACTTGTCAATTTTCTCCTTCCTCAAATTACCAGGTGAAACTTCACAATGACTACTTAAACAGGCGTCTATGTTCTCAGATTCAGTTGGATTAAAAGTAAAAAATCCATGACAACACCAAAAAGGTAGATGAAACTACGTTTTCAGAACAACAATGCTATCAGTCCACTGAAACACCTGGCAACGATGTTCTGTGAATAGCACTGACATATAAAGAAAATGCTAACCTGTTGACACCACTGGGCAAGAACATTGAGTCGGAGCATGCGCTGCTGAGTCTTAACAAGATACTTGAGTATGCTAATCTTCTTTTCGGAATCCGACATGTCGGAAGATTTCGATTTCTCCACCAATTCTTTCAGAGAAAGGTATGATTCCTCTGCAGCTCGACTCACCAGAGTCGAAAATTCCACCGATTCTTGACCTATCTCCGCCATTTTAGGTCTTCTTGTATTATTAATTATGTCCTTCCGCCAATTATTAATAACCTCAACAGTTCAGTGAATACATATTGATTCGAATACAATTAGGGCTCGAAATTAGCGAATCAAATAATCTCTCTCCTCACTTTCTTCGCGCTTTACCACCACGGCGCCACCGATCGGAGAAGAACCCACGTCGCCACCAGTTGCAGCGCCTTCAGCCGCTCCGGCGCCCTATATCTGCTTCCGCCGCGAATCTTGTGTATTTCGACTTCTCAAGTCCGCTTGGAATGGTCACTGGTAATCCTGTCTCATGAATGTATATATATAAGAGGAAAAAAGATCCAAGGTCAAAAGGTATGAATTTACAAAAACTACCCTAGACTATTAAACACTTGCCCAAATTGCCCCATATTTCCAAATTTTGCGATCCTACTCCTTTTCGATAACGGTTTTGCCTCGACCAAAACCTCACCCGAAATCGAGTAACTCAACCAAGAACCAACCCTTATGTAGTATCCTTTTAGTAAGATCTTTTTTACCCTCATGTTAAAAGCAAGTATGTAATCTAGTGGAGACATACATTTTAAGCCAAACATGTCATTCTAGTTGCGTCAAGTAAGGGTGCTCATGGGTTGGGTTGATCGGGTTGAAGATATTTGAACAACTTAACTCAATGCTTACGGTTTGGAAAAATCTTAACCCAACCCAACCCCTCGGGTTGGTCGGGTTAGTCGGGTTGGTCGGGTTGATACTTTGGTACATTAAAATATTCTTCTAACCTTGAATATGTTATTTCTCTACTCATAATTTCTTTTTCATCATCAACCATTTGATACAACTTATCCATATTTCTTACGTATATCACATTCAGTTAACTTTCTCAATTTACATATATATGTTCACAGTTACTGAACATATATACGAATGAGTTGTATAGAGATGTGAATAGAATGAAAATATGTGTATATGAAAAGCATACATGATAGTGTAATTGTCTAATGTATATATCAATAGAAATTCAACAATCATATTAAATCCAAGAAATAAAAAGATATCGGGTTCATTGAGTTGGGTTGGGTTCAAATAATAGTAACCCAATATCAACCTGATACCTACGGTTTGACAATTTTACAACTCGATTAGACATTGGGTTACTTCGGGTTGAATAATTTCGTGTTGGGTTGGGTTGGGTTGATCGGGTTGGTCAGGTTTTTGAGCACCCCTAGCGTCAAGTGTAACATGAAGAAATTCTTTAGATGTGTGTATCTGTGAGAATTGATCACCTCACATGTTGTGAAGGGTGTACTATTGAGGATAGCCTGGCAGAAACCAGATATTTTCTGCTTGGAAGAGTTGTCGGTTACCCTTTCATGTGATTAAAGACATACCCAAACGTAAAAGATGTTTATACATGTATAAACACACACTTATGCATATTGCAGACATATATTACCTTAGATGGCCTATACATTTGAAGAGCATTTTAGTTAAAGGGAGATTAAGAATTACTTGAACTGTTTTTAAGGTTGTTAGGACTTGTTTGAGAGAAAAGTTGTTGTGTTAAGGTCGAGTATCAACTTGGAAAACTTGAAGGACCAGTATACAAAATTGGAATAAGGAAAATCATATGGACCAAAAGGTCCCGTCCACCTCTTTTGTTAAGATATGGACAATATATATGAAAAACATGTGTTTGAACCTGTTTTTATATCGAATCCGCTGCATATGATGATATTTTATAAATAGACGACCTCTTTAATCTCGGTTATTGATAGATTCAATGTCACATGTCTAAAGGGTGATTTTTTTTCACAAGTAGAACATATATTTCAAAGGGTTATAAGTCTAAGCATACTTTCTTGAATGAGAATTTAATCATGGCATATTCATCAAATGTGATTTGGGCATATAAACTCAAATAACGATTTAAAAAGGCATATGAATTCAAATGTTTCTCAAAAAGAGGGAAAACGATGTTTTATGCAAAAACAGGGTATCTGTTTGTTTGGGAATTGGGGCCATTGTAGAGACGAGGATGATGACGAATTTCACTCAAACAGGGGGACCCAAATCGCGAGGTAACTCACGTACCTCTTTGGAAGTGCATGCAACTCAATATAGTGACCTGAAGCATGAGGGTGAAATGATGTGTGCGGCCTAGGTCGCGTGGTAGGTCACAGTCAACACAACATCGTGTAGCTTTCCCCTTTTCGAGTGGTTACATCAAAGAGAGTACAAAAATCATCAAAATCGTCATTTTGAGGGGGGGGGGGGGTTCGACCAATAATGAACTAGATGAGCACGAGGTGATTTTAGGAGCGCTTGTTGGTGTTTTCTTCAATTTCATCAGGTATCTTAACCTCTAGGGTTTATTTTTGTTGTTGTAGTTAGTAAATTTTACATTCGAGCAATGAGTTTGTAATCATTTGGCTCGAATTGCGTTGAGACTTGTCGAATCTTTTAATATCATCTAATTTCTATTTATGCAAACCTTATGTGATTCATTTTCTCATTATTTGGTTGTCCGAATTTATGGGCCCGTCAACCTAATAGTAAGTAGCCAATCGAAATTAGGGATTTTGTAACTGTCCTTGATTTTGTTAAGGTAGAAAACAACACTTCAATTGATTGCCTACTTAATTGTTGATTGTTGTGGGTTGCTAAATCGTCGACATCCGATCATCGGCTATGAATAGCGTTTGTCTTAGCCTGATGTAACTGAAGATTGAGTCTATGCTCGTAACTAAACTTAAATAGATGATTAGTAACTAGTTCATGTAACTTCTTATAATAGTTTAATCTTATGAAAAAACAGTGTGTTGGTGCGTATCGACACTCATGACCATTTAATTTTGGAATGAAATGAGAAAAACTCTTTTTATGAACAAGTCTATAATACATAATCTGATGAACGATTACACTCATTGCTTGTATAATTCTTGCTATGATATACCAGTTTAATTTTTCTGTGATTAGCTTAATATTTCAACTCAAAACTTCCACCATTTTACTGAAATGTAGAAGTTACATAACTTTTACATCCAATCCTTGTGAAATCGATCTGCTTGTCATTAAGATATAATTTGAGGTAATAGGACTTTACTTTTTGTTGGTTTCGACAACCCCATATATACATATATATATATATATATATATATTATATGGGGTTGGGTTCACGTGAGACCAAAGGTTTTTCATGAGAACCGTAAGACCAATTTATGTTCATTGATCAATTTTATAAGCTAATGATCTAATGGTCTAAAGTTGCACGGTGACAATTTTGTGATTATGAATGTTCAGATTGTAGATCTAAATCCAAGGGTTGAGAACTGGTCTTACGGGTCTCACGAAAAAAACCTTTGGTCTCACATGATCCCAAGTCTATCTATATATATATATATATATATCCAAGGGTTGAGAACTGGTCTTACGGGTCTCACGAAAAAAACCTTTGGTCTCACATGATCCCAAGTCTATCTATATATATATATATATATATATATATGTGTGTGTGTGTGTGTGTGTGTAACATCGTTAAGGATTGTGACAACGTACATTTTTGGATGCAACTGTTACATACAATTCGTGTAAATGATTGAACATAATGCTCTTTGGCTTAAGCACGATATGTAGGTATACATTTCACGAGTTTTTAGAGGATTTATACATCAGTAAGTTACACCTCTACAATGTTAGCCTTAGATACGTAAGTTATGCAAGTATGCACACAAGTTCTAAAAGACAGTTAAAGACGTGTTCAACATTTCAGAGTTGAAAATGAATATCGATATTGGTCTCCTTCTATATCTTTGTTTTTTTCAAAGGATATAATATTTATATACGACAAATACTCACGTACATTTTTTACTTTTGGTGATGTTTAAATTCTTGACCTCTTAAGAGTTGTGCTCTATTGGCAATGCCAGTACCGCTGACAATACTCTTTGGTCTCCCTTTATATCTTTGTTGAAATGCAACGTACATCAAATAGAAAACTAACTTTAGGTTCAAACCGTAAACCGTATCACGTATGTGTCAAACTGTAAAAGGTTGTATCGTGAAATATGATGCAATTTATACGGTTTGTATCTGACACATTTTAATTCAATAATTATAAAATCACAACAATGAAACAATTTGACGAAAACGTTTCCATATTCCATATAAAAAATGTTCCAATACATCCGTAATGTGTAATTTAAAACACTGTAAAATAAACTAAAGAGTTCTATAATTGATCAAAATACATCTAAATGGTAAAATCCAAAATAAATTTGACGATGACGTGTGAGAAAAAATAAAAGAAAATAATTTAAATAAGAAATTTGTAACGTAAAACGGAAAAGGAAAATTGAAAAATTAATAAATAAATAAATAATTAACCACAAGGGTGGTGCCTGATTGGTTTGAGCTTGGCTCCAAAGGTCAAAAGTACCACGAGGTTCCAGGTTCAAATCCAAGGAGGAATAAAAATCCCCTTGTGGCCACGAAGGTTCAAATACGGTGACTCTGGGCTATCTGCAAAGCAGGTGGTCGTCCTGAGATTAGTCGGCTCGCATAGCGAGTTGGATATCCAGATAGCGAGTTGGATATCCAGGTTAATAAAAAAAAATCAATGATGTATTGGTTATTTTTAATTAATTAATTAATGATAATGTGTATATAATATATATTTTTTAAAATATATAAAAATCTATGATGCGATTTGAACTATGGTCTGAAAATTCAAAACCACAAACCACATCGCAAAGTGTGGATGAATAAAAAATCAACCCACAAACTGCACCGTGAAAGTTCTAAACCGCGTGAAGCGGTACAGTGTGGTACGGTTTAGATGAACACCCCTACTTAGCAAACCACGTTTTCTTCAAGTCCTTTTAGGTGCCGTTTATCCAAATGCTTGCCCGATAAACGTTTACCGGCAGGAGTCAATACTATAATCTATTTTACTAGATAAGATTGTAGTACATTTAACTAGTATTGTATGCAACAATTTACCCGGCAAACTCTTACCTGGGTAAGAGTCGTCACCCTCACTTACCGGGTTAAGACTCTCAATCCTTATCATCGCTCTTACCGGGTAAGATTTTCGGCCCTTGCGAGTTGCGACGTTCATCAGACGAGGAAAATTACCCAATAAGCACTTATCGAGTAAACGTTTAGTAAACGGCCCCTTAGTCAGCTAACTTTCATCATCTCCATAAACTGAAGTTGATTGTAAATCATGTGCTATCGTTGTTGGATGTCACTGTTTCATCATTAATGTAAATGAGTC